CCCTAAACCCTAAACCCCAGCTCACCAGGTTCTTTGAACCGGGCGCTTAGCGCTAATTAGCACTGATTCCGAGAGACCCGGCTCGCCAGCCCAGCAGCCACACGGCCTCAGCCAGAAACGTGGCCTAAGCCCCCTAAACCCTAAAACCCNNCTAAAACCCTAAGACCCTAAACCCGATATTAGGTAAGGGCTCTAACGGCTCACGCTTTAAGGCCTGGCTTCTTCAAGACCCAAAGGCGCCAGAGAGCATACTGCCTGAGGCGTTTGGGCTACCTTCGAGCCGGAGTTACTCCCCGAGCTCCGTTTGGCTGCATAACATAAACCAACACTCTACTCTTTATGGAAAATATTTATCAAAGTTTGAAGAACAAAGTAGGAATGATAGATAATCTATCATTCCTACTTTTTTCTTCAAATTTTCATACTAGCAGTTTAGGTGACTGAAGCCCTCGGCTGAGACATGAGATCGGCTCTGCTGCCACACTCCAGCGGTCCAGACCTTAAGGGGGTTTAGGGTCCAGGCTGATCCCAAGTCAAACTCCATGGCCTCAGCTTCGCCTTCTGCTAGGCGCGAGGACACACCCGCAGGAGTACTTCGCTCATTTTGGTCGTCTCAGATGCAGCATCACACCTTTCCCTTCTCAACTGCGTCCTTGCTTGCGTATGAAGCGGACGCAGATATCGATGTACCGACCGGGGGTGCATTGCTATCGTAGGCACGAGGCTCCAAAACTCAACCCTCAGCTAGGTATACCTAGCGGAGTGCTGCACTGTCTTGTGGAGTGCGACTTCAGGCTGTCTGCCGGCACTAGGCCCATACCTGGTCTTCGATGATGCACCGTGGCTTTAGATGACTTCTGCAATGGAACACGGAAAACCATGACTCCTTTGGCCGGCAGCAGCACGCTCACTGATAGACGTGCTGGATAAGAGGCAGCAGCTGCGTCTCACCGTTGGTGTCATCGGTCCCACCGTTGTCGTTGACGACCCACAGCGTGATCTTGTCCGTGGTGTAAGGCTCCTCCAAGTCCCCGGTGACGGCCAGGCTGTCGAAACGTTGCAGCACAGGTCCCCGTAAGTCCTGGCTTGCAGGCTGAGGGTTTAGCACTTGAGGTTTGAGGTCAGTGAGGCTGTGAAACCTTAGGGCTACAGGGCGAAGCTCTAGTCACTACTCTAGTCCTGCAGCTCCAGCAAGAAATCTTCCACCAAGGTCTTCTCAATCACCGTCTCATTGCCTTGTGGTAGTTCTGCCTTGTAAATGCGCCGCACGGCTGCGTCGAAGCCGCCCTGGCCATCCGTCTCCAGGAACAGGAAGTGGCCATCGCCAAGTGCTGCAATGTCGCGCAGCGCGACCACCCCACCATCCTGTGACTCCGGAGCGTCCAGGGGATAAGTGAAGTTCTTCTCGCCGCACACCGGTGTCGTCAAGTTGCACACTATCACCGTCCCCCCGTACGTAGTGACCACATAGCCGACATCTGGGTCATATGCCACGCCGGATGGAGCATCACTGCTGTTGATTGCGAAAGAGTCTTGGAGGACACCACCGTTGTTGAGGAGCAGGAGGCTCTCTGTCGTCTGGTCCACGATCACGAAGCCCTCGTCGTTGATGTCGATTCCGGAAATGTTGAGGTTTTGCAAGAAGGTGCCGTTCGGATAGGTGATGCTGATGGCTCTATCGATCCTTGGGGGGTGCCTGGTACTCTGGATTCTGAGGATCTGCGGCTCAGCAAAGAACGCGCCCTCGACGGCCCAGAGCGTGTCGTTACCCTCTCCAGTAAGTCCCGCAATAGATCCCCAGGGAATGGGCAGGCCATCCACGTTTTTGGACTCCAAGAATGGATATTGAGTTGACCTTACTTCCCATGCAATACTCTAGAATCAGCCCTGTGAAGCCCTTAGTAACCCTACAAAGAGCCTATCAGACTCCTACAACACTCTAAACCTCTAAACCCTTAGAGGTACCTTGCAGGGATTTCAGGGGACCCTGTCAAGGACTCCCTGTAGTGTCCGTTAGAACCCCAGTCATGGCCTTTCAGGGGGGCCCGTAAAGGAGCCTTTAAAGGAACCCCTATAAAACCCCTTAAAGGAACCCTCATAGACACCTTAAAGGACCCCTTAAAGGAACCCTCATAGACACCTTAAAGGACCCCTTAAAGGTACCTGTAAGGCGGCCCAGTGACTGGCACTGGTAGATGTTCAAGCCGGATCGGATGTCCAGGTCAAGGTCCGAATCTTCAGAAGCTGTAATGTACCTTAAGCAATAAGCTCAAGAGTCCTTATGGCTATTATTATTAGGGTTTAGTATAAGGGTTAGGGATTAGGATGGGTTTCGGCTTCAGTATGGTTTAGCATTGCTTAGCAAGGCTCAGCATGGCTTAGTATGGTTTAGCGTGTTTTAGTTTATCAGCGCTTTAGCAAGGCACTACACGCATGTGGGTTATGGCCGTCGAAGGTACAGATTCCGTCGAGGGATGGCCCTCCCGCGCTCCGGGGTCCTGATTGAGGGCAGTGCCTGCAGGTACTTCGGGTTGCTGGCGTTCGAAACCTCGAAGACATATGTCAGGCTCGCCCTCTCGGATTGGACAAAGAGCATCTCACAGTTCTGGAACTGTCCATATGCCAGGTTCTCTGGCTCGACGCCCTTGTTCTCAGAGCGCTCGTCCGGGTAGTGCCCGAGCCTTACGGCCAGGAGCTCAAGCAAGTTTCCTGCAGAGATGGCCAGGGGCCGGGGCTTTGTTTAAACTTAGGGTTTAGGATTTAGGGTTTAGGGGTTTAGGGTTTAGGGTTTAGAGTTTAGGGTGTTTAGAAAGCCCATAGTGAAACAACCACGTTGCACCACATGCCTCGCACTCGAAGCCTAGGTTGTAGGGCTGTATTAAACCCCTCTCCTGCTCCAGTATCCCTAAAACCTAAAACCGTCTTACTGCTGAAAATTGTATACTACGTCAAGCATGTCCACTGGATACGTGCGGGAACATGCTCGGCCTTTGGTGGTTTTCAGTATCTTACATGCGTCCGGAACTACGACATGTCCGGACATGTCCATGGGTGTTGGGAACATGTTGTCAAGATGCAACGGCACCAGTTCCAGACGCGGTCCGAATGTAAAGTGTAGTCCTAGCCTTTTGTTTAGTTATCGTTCATTTGCTGCCAATATTCCAGTTTCCTGAGCTGAAGGCAATCTCTCCGTTCTCGTTGAAGACCGTGAAGGAACGGCTTCCTCCTTGAAAGTCTCCTTCGTCGGCGGTGGCGAAGAATTCCGACTTCTTCCCCAACCAGACCACGCCGTCCGGCTCCCTGCTGACATTCGTCAGGGTTGAGTTCAAGATGATCCTCCGGTCCTCGAAGATGTCAATGTCCGTAATATTCATGGTGCCAGCCGAGAAACTGGAGATCACGGAGGCATTCGTCAGGTTCACCAAGACGATGGCATTGTTCTCCTGCAGTGTGACTACAGCCACGTTGTCCGAGCGGATGTTCACCTGCTCCGGCTCGGGGTCGTCTGGGTAGAGAACGCCAGGGAGACCGGTGAGGCTGATGTTATCTGTGGTCCAGGCCATGGGATCCGGGTCGGAGATGTTCACCCGCACCAGGAAGCCGGGTGGGGGCTCAGGAAAGGTGCCGGCGGCCTCGTTTTCGATGGTGATGGCGGCCCAGGTCTCATCCGGGCTGATGTCCACAGAGTCGGGTTGCCCTCCAAGCTCGATGGTGCGCAGGACGGTTTGGGTAGTGACGTTGAGGATCAAGAGCTGCCCGAAGTCGGCAGGATTCCCAGGACTGATCGGCCCGAGAGGAATTAGTGCCAGGAAGCCCTTCACAGCCACGTCCGTGGGCTTGTTCGGGACTTTCAGCGTACCCAGAGGGGTGGGTACCGCCGCATCGGTAATGTCCACGAAACCTATCGTGTAGTTGTCTTGGTATCGTCTCGTGCTTGTGTAGACAGCGGTTTTCAGGTCCTCCGTCACATCCACCGAGTCAATTTTGAACCTTTGTTCCGTGTCGTTGCATGTCGCATCGAGCTGCTGACAACCCTGAAAGAATCCGATGCGGTTGAAGGTGCAGCAACCTTTCCCGCAGCCTGGGCTGGGAGGAGACGGTGGGGGCGGCGGAGGCGGAGCAGGCGTGGTGGTCTTGTAGTAGTAGTGCTTCTTCTTGCTCCACTCATAGATGGCACGCTTGAACTTGCGAATGAGCCTTCGGGGTCTTGCATCTTCACTGCGACGGAGCACCTGAACAGCCGCTAGCTCATCGGTCTCACAGCTCTCTGCTGCATAGGCGCAGGAGCCGTTGAGAATCTGGAGCACCACCAGGAACGTCCAGCAGCGCATCCTCGAGGCTGCAGGCGGTGAGCGGACGATGTAAGCTGCTTTGAGCCCAAATCTTCAGGCAGCATCGGCAAATTCGGCACATGGACGCCTTAACTGCGACTCAGCCCAAGCCTGGTGGCAAACTGCACTGCTTGATTGAGCCGAGGGGAGATATCCAAAGCTGCTCTGGGTTGAGAGGCCAGCAGCCGAACATATCAGGTGCCGCAAGTATCGCTCCAGTGCACTCACCTGCCAGCAACCAGGACACCAGTAAACCCCAACAAGTTGGAAACCGGATTAAGGACAAATTGTGCTTGGATTCCCTATACATTACTCTGAAGCTTTGAGGCTGTTGGGGTTTAAAATTTGGGGCTTCTACTGTAAGATACTGTCAGACAGATGGTTGACGAAAAAGCAGGCCGAACTTCAGAATTTTCGAACATCCTCAGGCCGTGAGTTCGAAACCAGAAACGTTAAGTCATAAAACGGGTTAACGTTTAGGCTTTAGGACAAAATCTAAAGCATGCTCTATATATGACTAAAAACCCCCAGCCCTAAACCCCAAAACCCTAATTCCTAAACCCGAATCCCACAAACACTAAACCCTAAAACCCCGAACCCTAAAACTTAAAATCCAAACCTATTTGCTAAGCCACACTACTAAACCCTACATCCACATACTTCGAGCCATGAGTCTCCCGCACTTATGGGCGAAAGAGTCAAACGGTTCGATAAGAGAACTATGGGGATCTATATGGGCTTAGGGAGTTGGGGGCTTAGGGCTTTACAGTTTCAGGTTCAGGGTCTAGAGTTTAGGGTTTACGGTTCGGGATTTCAGGGTTTAGGGGTATACTTAGAACTGGATTCCTTGCAAAGGCAAAGGTTCCTTAGTGTGTAGGGTTTAGGGTTTGGGGAATATAGGGGTTTTCAGCATGAGAATTAGTTGCTTCACGCATTCGAAAAACGATTCTAAACGGTAGGGGCCGTAGGCCCCGGCCACAGCGGTCAGAGTTTCCCACAACGTTCCCCGTTTCCCCCGCCCCCACCTCCCCTCCTGCACACCCCCTGCTCCCGCTCGCCGCGTGTTTTCCTTGAGACGGGCTAGCTTATATCATTCGTGAAGCTGATGCCAAAGCCCGGGAATTCTGCGGCTGTGTCTTGTACTTCGTTGCAAAGCTTGATTCCCCTTCCAACATATGGGAGGTTATACGAGACTAGTGATAAATGTGATGCGATTATAATAACAACGTCTATGGGACAATGCAGGGAATGTGCCACCTTTCGCGTGGATTATTGCTCAGGGCTCAGCATGAAAACGCATACTGACATTAAAAAACAATGACTCGAGACCTCGCCTGTCTGACCTACCCGCTGCTTCCCGAAACAACGAACCTGCTTCAAGTACAGCGGGGCCGAGGCGGACTTCACGAAGCGATTGAAATTAGAATAGGATTTTGGAGTGTACTACTAAGGGTTACTTGTCGGACCATAGATAGCTCTTCAGCTCCTCCGCCTATATTAGATATCTAATGTAGCACACAGGCAATGACATTACAATATATATATACACACACACAAAAGTATGCTAACACCCCCCCCCATGAACTACCGCGTGGTGCCGCGACAGCGCCACCAATCCTGCTCCGTGTAGGCTTCTGGTGTATGACCCAGGTTTAACGTTAGGTGTCGAAGTTCCGAGGAGACAGCATACGTATATCGGCAGAAGCCTTCATTCTCAATTCTTGCGACCCCTCACGCAGATACTCCGAGATATGATTTCGCCAACGATGAAATTCATGTCTGTCTGAATACCCGCAGCTCAATATGGGCCCGAGTATTATTGTCTCCCAACGTAGCCTTCACTGTAGTCTCAGATC